ATTCAATGATGGCTACTATTTATCGAGCACTTAAGTGTATGTCAGGCATAATTCTCTCACTTAATCCTCAGTCCTGACAGGTGGGCAGGATCCCTGTTTTCCTGATGAAGAAACTGAGGCATACAGGTTAAATGACTTGCTTGGTGTCACACTGCTAGCGAATGACTGGGCTGGAATTTATACCCTGACCCTGACTGCTTTTAAGTCTTCCTACACAGCCTCTTCAAGATCAATTCCAGGTCTAAATTAAATGATTCTGTGATTAACTTATTTTTCATTCCTTTGCATCAATTCCCAAGATAGGTTTAATCTCCATTATATATCAAGAGATAGCTAAAATATTTGTAAAGCAAAGAATTTCCAACGATGTGGTGGGGTTTTTTTCACCCTTTTTTTGAACCTGTATTCCTCCTATGAGAGGGTCCCTATTCACTGGTGCTATCTCTCCTTTTAGCTGTAAGCCAAACACGGAGTGCGTGAAGTTTTGCCAAACCCCATCTGAAATCTGGAGCCCTGATAAGGACTCTCAGGACACAGGTGAGGAGAAATTACCCAGTGCCCTTGCTCACCTGCCCTCTCCTGTATTTGCCCCTGCACCCACCCATCCAGCCCTGCTACCTCTTACAGTTCTCTCCTCTGATCACAATTTGCTTTGTCTCCAGGCACCGCAGTGCTGTTGCCCCTGGTGATCTTCTTGGCTCTCTGCCTTTTATCCCTCCTGTTCATGGGTTTTGTATGCCGCTTCCAACGATGGAAGCCCAAGCTCCTCTCCATTTGTGAGTGGGTCCTTTGGAAGGGGGAAAGGGTGCTGGTGGGGATGTGGGAGGAGGCTGGGTGGTAAGATGCCCTAGATGGAGGGAAGTGAGGAGCACCCCCTTAGTTCGCTGTGGCAGACTGTTGGCAGATGATCCTGGATGGCTGCTGAGAGGTCATACTGCATCAGTAATTCTCTTGTCCTTGGGGCCACATAGGCCCTGAAGCATGTCACCACAAGTCCTCAGGGCCAGCCCCAGCCACAGGCACCAGGGCTGAGAGAGGAAGTGAAATTTGTGATGTTTTGTTTCTTTTTTCTCAGTTTGTGGGGAATCGACACCTCCAAATGAGGTAAGATGAAACCAGGGACCTACCCCCAATCTTCCTTCTGACTGCCCATTACAATCTTGTAAGACCCAAATCACCTGGAATCACCTTTGTCCCTCCGGCTCCCCTAATTCCCTCTAGTTCAAACCCCATCCAGAATAAAGAGGGTGGGATGTTTTTCCTCTCCCTACTAATGCTGTCTTCTTTTTTTAGGGGGACCCCGAGCACCCGGCCTCAGCTTCAAGCTTCAGTCCCATCCCCAGCTCCCCCTTCAACCCTACCGACTGGTCCAATTTCAGGCCTGCATCACCCCCCAAAGAGAAGGTTTTACCCCACCAGGAGATTGGCCCCCTCCTCTCAGCGGCTCCAGCCTCCACCCCCATCCCCACCCCTCTTCAGAAGTGGGAGGACAGGGCCCACACACAGCGCGCTGACAGTGAGCACGTGGCGGGGAAGCCGGGGTGGGGGTACAGGCGGCTGGGCTCCTAGAGGGCGCGTGCGTGGGCAGCAGCGGGGCAGGGTGGACCCTGGCACGGAGCCGCACCTTCAGGCTCTCCGCCTGCTTTCCCGCAGCCGACCCGGCAACGCTGTATGCGGTGGTGGATCGCGTGCCCCCGTCGCGCTGGAAGGAGTTCATGCGGCGGCTGGGGCTGAGTGAGAACGAGATTGAGAGGCTGGAGCTACAGAACGGGCGCTGCCTGCGCGAAGCGCATTACAGCATGCTGGCGACCTGGCGGCAGCGCACACCACGACGAGAAGCCACACTGGAGCTGCTGGGCCTTGTGCTCCGCGACATGGACCTGCTCGGCTGCCTGGAGAGCATCCAGGAGGCACTGTGTGGCCCCACCTCCCTCTCACCCGTCTCCCGCCTGCCCTGATGAGGCCACGCCCCCTGGGAGGGGCCTGCCCTGAGGACAGCGGCTTTCTGCCACAGGGCGCCCCACGGACCTTGCAAGATGCTCTCTAGACCCCCTTTTTTATGGAGAGGAAGGGTCTTGGAGGGGCAGGCATGAGCTGGCAGCCATTTACTTGGTGCTATTCCCTCAGTGTACATAGCTTTTCTCAGCTGTCTGAACACTGCTGGAGGGTCAGCTCTGTGTGTGTGTTTGTGTGTGTGTGTGTGTGTGTGTGTGTGTGTGTGTGTGTGTGTGTGAGAGAGAGAGAGAGAGAGAGAGAGAGAGA